TGTCTTATTACCTCAAGAAAAAATGTACAGTAAGTATATCTTACTAAAGAACTGAAGGATAAAAAAGGGGTGCAAGGACTGTTAACAGGAGTCACAAGTTTCTCTGTAGCTCAGAATATAAAACCAATCTCCCTTTTTCTTCTTGGGTGGCCTGTATAGCTTTACAGTAGTTCTGTATATAAAAATCACACCATATCCTGCCTCCAACAGAGGATTCTTGTTCACATTTCGCAAAATAGTCACTTCACAAAAGTAATGAAAGTTACACAAGAGGATTATGATTCTTGTGTCCCTAGAGCTACACAATGCTTACATATACATATGACTCTATACGAGCATGCTGTGCCTTTTTAGGTGCATTTACCATTTTACTATAATTCAACAACTTGTACATCTACAAACTATGCCAAAAGTTATAGGGGGCACACAACATGCAGTTATAGTCCATTAACCAAGAAAAGTACACTGACAACTAGGGTCCTAGCTTTCCTTTATTCTAGCTGCTGATTAGGTTGAATACTAAAGGAAATAGGCCACCACTAAACTGACTGGAGTAGGACAGACCAGACAGCATGCCAAATGCATCTTTGAAAGTTATTACACTCGAGAATTTAGCTCACCGATTTACTCCACCGCTTCAAGAGCAATGGCACAGCAATAGGCCTGGTTCTCCGGAGACAACTGCGAAAATATCATATACCATGGTAATGACTGCAACATAGATCTTTGTACCCCAATGGGTTTTGGAAGCATTGAGAGGGACAACCCCAAGAGGGACAAGCAAAATTACATTTGGCATGCAAACACTATGTTCAGGTCTGTTATAGTACAATATGAATACAGGGAACTGGAGCACATATACATGAATAAAAATGACAAACCAGGAGATATATTTTGTTAACACAAAATGATAAAATATTACTGCCTTCTGCACCTCTTCCTTCCACCTTTCTATGCTTATTTTTGGCAAATTATGTTCATTTATATACAAGGGATCGAAACCAAACCAACATCACAAAGGGTTCAAACCAAACCGATATCACAAACTCCTTGGGAAAGCATGGTTAGCTACCACAAACTATGTTGTACTACTGAGCCTTCTGAATTGAGTCTAGTGCTGCAAACTGGATCATAGAATAGGGATCTTTATTTTAGACATGTGAAGGTCATTTTCAAATCACACTGGGCTGTTACTTTTTTGAAAATAAGGATCTTTATCCTGGTGGGTAACTTTGTAAATTGAACCTTGTTCACATGCGTCACTGAGGGGCAGTAACAAAAAAAAAAAAGGTTCATTTGAGTCTTCATTGCTCCCAGCAGCCTACTGTTAAGCCAGCATTGCATCCGGACAGTGTTGTACACATTGCCACAGCCAAAATGCTACGCTTTGCAGTGTAAAAAATTAGACCGCATGTAGCTTTCAACGAGAGTTGCTGCCTGCCAAATGCAACCATTGAGTTAAATGGGAAAACACATTGCCATGAAAGCCCCTGCTCTTTTGACCTCTGAAAAGGAATCCATGGCTTGCTTTGCAGAGAGGCAGTAAAATTTGATACGAGTGACATTTTTACTTTTTTGGCCTCACCGCAGTGCGGTTGTACCATGTCTCACTATGCACCATGTCTCACAATGCACCAAGTACTGCATGCCTTACTTTTTTTCTCTTTTAGCACACACCACCGGAACGCAGTGATGTGAACTGTCACCATCCATGACGAGGTAAATTGCCTTGCTTCCGGGCTGTGCTGTACTTTTTCCAGCGCAGCCCGAATGTAAGACAAGGCAATTTGCCTCATCATGGATGGAGACAGTTCACACCACTGCGTTCCAGTGGTGTGCGCTTAAAAAAAAAAAAAAGTATGGCATTGGGTACTTAGTGCATTGTACTGAAACATGGTACAACCGCACTGTGGTGAGGCCATAGAACTAAATGAAATGTTACTTGTAACATTTCAATAAAGTTCTTACGAAAAAAGAAATTAATCAAGCGCATCGGCACTGTACGGTCAAACGCACGCCAACAGCCAGTTGAGCGCTGCTGCTGGAGTAAACAAGCCCTAAAAACATGCAGTTTGACCTGTATGGGGGAATAACAGCAAAACACCCACAAGCTCAGGGTACATTACTCCTAAAATGTGTTAAGTGTAGCTAGTATCAGTTTTTACAGCTTCTTTAAATCATCTTTTTTAGTTCAGCATTAAAACCAAACTGCATTTGCATTAGCTTTCAACTTAACTGAAAAAATATAACATAATTTATTATAAATTATGCATTAGTAATATTTTTAGCCACACCAAGACAAAAAAACATGTGATATAAATACAGAGCAAGGGGGTCCATAACTAGTTAAATGCTTGAAGAGATTTCAGAAGCTTTCCTCTAGGGTGAGTGAAGGACCCACTCATGGGGCCTCCAGTGTGCACTGATGCTATACTCCCCTCCCAGGCATTGCTATTTCATTTCACAGCTGCTGTGTCGGGAGATTAGACTTATTCCGCTAATGGCACCTAGCGCATAAATATGCAGCTCACGTCTGACAGGAGCAAAGCACAAAAAGGGACAAACATAAAACTTTTGGGAAATAGATTGGCTGAAAGTAAGATAAGCTACAGGCAAAGCATTTGTTAAGATGTATGGCATTACAAAGGGCCTCAATCCAAGCAGAGTAATGGAGAAGCTTGGACCTCTGGCAGCGAAGAAACAATGAAAAGCACTAGGAAATTAGAGAAAAAGGATTGAGAACTAATATACCACCTTTTGTTCAACCTCTCGATCCGCTACTTTATTTACAATAAAATCTGAAAATGAAAGACTTCTGTGCTTAAGTGATATGATGTCATATAAAAGTTAGTAAACCAACCTTATAAAAAAGTGATAGGAAGCACCACCAGGAGCTTGCAAATCCTTATGGTTAACTTGTGTGTAACGCTGCATGTAGCCGCTAATATTTGCTTTACAAATCAGTTTAGAAAGTGTAGGTACAACACATATCTCAGCATTTAACGCAGACACTTCTCAACAGGTAGCCAAGGCAGCTGGAGTGCAGTACCAAATGTGGTGCCCAGGCTCAACATTATCTAAACTATAAAAGCTGCACAAACTCAGGAATCGCTATCACAAGTAAACAATGTTTCCCCTTAAATCATACCAGTTATAAGAATTTTTCAAAGAGAAATAAAACAAACACTTGAAGCCCCAGCACAGGTTGTTAGTTAAAGTGACACTAAACTCAGGAGATAAATCCTAAAAATGCATTCAGGTACCTTAGCTATTAACAAAAATGAATGTACCTTATTTGTGTATCACTCGGCTGTAGACCCTCAAATCATTTCTGAATTGGTGCTGACACTGTCCTTCCTTCTGGAGGGTGGCTACTTTTGTTCCCCATGGTCCCTGTGTGTGTTGTAATGTAGCAACTGCTCCAAGCTTGCTCCTGTGATGGACCACAATCTCAATACAAATTAGTAATCGTGAGATTGTATTCCATCACAGGAGTGAGCCTGGAGCTCAGGCTTCTGCACAATCTCATACAGGCAGAGCTCGGTACTGATGCATGGAATATCAGTTAGGTGGGAAGGACAACTGGATGGGATTAAGGACAGCTCTACTGCATTTAACCAGATAAGAGGACTTCTTCATGTCTCCTAACTAAAAAACTCCGTACCTCAGTATGTAGCTCTGCCTGGGAAAGAATGTGCAGAAGGCTGAGCTTTGCATCCCTGATCGAGTGATCACAATTGCAATGCTTTCCAGGCTTGAATGCAAAAATTAAAGAAATGCATATTCTTGGCCTCTGGGTTGTACTTGCCCCCTGGGCTAAAAGTTGCCAGTCAGCCCCTGAGGGAGTCATGGGGTTAACAAGCTCACAGATCTGAAGACATAATGACATATGCATTATTGTTCAAGGAAAAGTGTCTTTATAAAAAGTATATGGGCTTTCACTTTTGTTCTCCTTATTTGTAAATGTTAGTTCTCTGGTTTCCATGCAGATCTAATGGCATTGGGACTAAATGTGCCTCATACTTATTTAAAGCTATTGTCTCATAGCATTGAAAGGAGAAGAACTGCATGATCACATGGTTTATACAGGCCATGGACAGCCACACTAAAGCAATACAACTGATGAAAAAAGTTGTTGTTTTTTTGCAGAGGCAAATGGGAAATCTATCAGACGCACAAGCCAAATATATTTTTTTTTAAAAAAAGGCTTTTAGCAAATATTTCAATGTGTTCTGAGTGACACAGTATTTCAGAATAAGTAACTTTAAATAGCACTTAACCCCCCCCCTAACAAAAAAAAAAAGCATTTTAAAAGTTTGCTAGTGAGCAGAAAATTTTTTAACTTAACATTTCCTCTGTCAAAATGCTACAGTTGGGCATTACTGTCAGAAGTCTGCTGCAATGTTTGGAGCTCTGCTTACCACTTAGGATAAGCTGGCAAACCATACATTCATGGTGGTAACACAAGGACTCTGTTTAAAATGTAGAAGGCTCTGTGCTAGTCAGAGATTTTAGCTATTGTATCGAGTTTTGATGGGCAGGAATTAATCAGCTGCAGCAATGCTATCTAGCAACTCATGTGTACCTTCCATTCAAAACCATGAACTGGACTGGGCTGCTTACCAAGTTGATCATCTTTAAAAAAAAAAAAAGTAGTAACGGTAGAAACTAGACTACATTCACTGCTTCATTTATTTTTCAGGTCTGTAAAAGTATCGAAGCTATTGGGTCAGCATAGCAGGCACCAGCATTTCCAGGAGAGGTTACGTTTTTTTCTTCATGCAGCAGAGGAAGCACACACCATGAAATACTGTACATTACAATAATATATGCAATTCAAACAGAAAATATGTATATTTATGTATAGGCTATTTTTCTACATGGTAATACAAAGGGAACTACTTGTTTTTTTTTTTTAATAGACTCCCCTAAATCTGATCAACACTGTTGATGGAAATATCAAAGAATTGGAGTATATCCTGCAATGCTGCACTTATTACCTGAATCTGTTCTGGGGTCCATTGGTCCAGGTTCACAGATTTAACTCTTGATATATGAACACCAAGGTTTCGATGGATTCCAGCACATCTGATGCACATAAATACTCCTAAATTCCATGAAGCCCATCTTGGACCTGCAAAATTTTTCTAGAATGTTCATGAAATTCTTTAACATGGGCAAACTCAGCTCAGACCCATACCTATACAAGCTATGTAATTCAGTAGATATTGAGACTAGCAGGTACTAAGCAACCAAAGACACACAACCCACTTAAACATCGGTAGTAGATGAGAGCTACTGGTTGTAAGAAATGGCTCCTGTTCTAATTCACTCTACTGCGGAGGAAGAGAAAGTGATAAAGAAATGGCCTGCAATGTTGGGTGCAGGCAAAATTCAGGGCAGTGCAACCCAGCACAAAGCAAAATGGATGCTTTGCTAAAAGGGTGGTGTATTTTAAATCCGGATGTCAGAGGCACATTTGATGGTATATGGCATGAATGAATGCACAGAAAATACCCTCCTATAAAAACAAACTTGTGAACATGGTTGTAGAATGCAAAAGCAAAAATGTTCTGATAATAATTTTTTTTAAATATATTAAAAGGTTAGAGAAACACAGAAAAGTTTAAACCCAAATGGTACCCTTCACTCAATGAAGTGAGAATTGAACCAATTAAGATACATACTTTGCCCTAGATATTTCTGTGACTTTTAGCTGCTTATGAAAATGAACAATAAATGTTTTTGTATAGTAGGAGCTTATGAAGAATCATATTTATGTCTGAATGGTATAACGTGCATTTTAAAAATTGGTAAATTGCAGGAGAAAAAAAAACAAACAAAAAAATACACAGGACACCATTTCACAAAAAGTTTGTTCAGAGGTCTGGAGACATTGATTTAACGGATCCCTCCAGTTATCTACTATAGATTGAACTGCAAAATAATTAACTCTCTCCTGTACTGGTAAAGAAAAGTTCAATTGCGTAAAAAAAATACTCATTTAAAAAAAAAAAAAAGGTAACCCGTCACAAAATATTTTATTTACTGGGATAAAGATCTCATAGACACTACAATGCCCCACAACTTACAACTGATATATCATAAATCCAGCACAACACAGTAGGCCTGCAACCAACTATTTTATAGGACGCATCAATTTCACCTTTTTTGTTTTATAGATCTACCTCTGGGTTTTTCCCCCCCATTTCCCTTTTTTCAATCTGTTTACTTTGATAGTGCAAGCTTCCATGCCGATACATTTTAAACTGGAGGAAACCCAGGTAAGGGCCACAGGAAAACAAATACAAAAGTTTCTCAGAACTTGGCTCAAGCCAAACACTCAAATAAATATTATATTTTTTTTTTTAATGCATCTTTGTCTGAGGT